GAACACACTGAACTTGCGTTGAGCCCAAGAAGTAAAATAAGATAGCAATAAGAGTCCCTATAAGAAGTTTTTGTGGAGAAGAAATTGAACAACACTGTTCTGTTGTGATTTTTCATTTTCTTGAATTATTATTATTATTTTGCTGCGTCGGGTTGACTTAATATGCACCTTCGATGCAAATTACGAATGAGTTCTCCTTATTTCAACATTCTTAAAACAAAATTACTTTTTTATCTTTACAGAAAAATTACTCTTAACATATCAATACACAATTTGAATCTGCGTGGAAGACACCGACTAGTTATACCCCGTCACCGCAAAGAATTATTTAAAAGATCATATTCCTAAAATATAGCCATTTGCATTAACTCTATTACTAATTTTAATATTAATCAGTCCAATTCAACGTTTAGGAATAATTTCAAAAAGCAGTTGTTACGTACGCACTAATATTAAGCTCTTCTACAAAACATGTGCCCCTTTCCTTTCCTTCCCCCTCCATTTCTTCTCTTTGCTTTTCTTTAAAATTATGTGTATCTACGCTTGGCGCTTTCAAATAAATTCTATGAAATTTTTTATTATTATATTTTCGCTGTTAAATTGAGGCCTGATCAGTATCTAGAACTTCTAGATGGCTGCCCTAACAAGGCCTATTGTTGACCATTATTTCACTTATTTAAATTTCGTTATGTAATTATTTATATGGAACTTTGATGGTTATAACAATAAATGTATTATTATTATTATTATTTTGATATTAATATTAAAATTTTCATTCTCTCAACTGTTCGTGTTTTTCTTTCAATTTTCACCTTTCGTCCTCAGTAGTTATCCGTTTAATTTTTCAATAAAACTTGGCAACAAGAATTTAATTTATTTTCGATGGCCGGAGCCCTTAAATCACGGCCCGTTCCCTTATGGACACCGTTAATTGAAAAGTTTCTACTTTATTTGGCAACGATTCGAGTGAACTTTATTCGACCGCCCGTTCGACGGAAAATAATTGATATTTGATTTAACCGTTACAATACAAAATCGCTCTGTAGACTTGTCCAACGCTCAGGTCATTACGGCCGGGTCGCGTCCCAATTTTTCCTCCTTTCCTTATTTTTGCACGTTTTACGAAAATTTGCGTCGTCAAGCTGGAATTATCGTCAATTTTTATGTTTTTTTTTTAATTTAGTAAATTTGAACATATAAGCATGTGAAAAATTAATGTGAAAACTATGACACAAGATGGGTCTGGATGCTTGCAGGTTTTTACATCATACAGAGTGAACTATAGCTATCAGATAATATAGTGGCCCTGCTACGGTAAAAATTGATGCGCCGCACCAAACTGCATTTGTTGCCATTTTCTTTCTAAACAACGATTTCCACACACTTAACTCGTTTTTTCAACACATTCAAGGAGATCTAGGCATATTTTTTTCATAGTTGCTTCATAAGTTATTGGCATACACAGGGCTGTATATCTCGTGTTATGTGAAAATATTGGCATATTTATTATCCCATTTTTGCGCCCCATTTCCATCAATACAGAGCATGGAACCATATTTAAATAGTTAAGTTTATACCTGCGAAGCTTTTGCAATTGTAAAAATTAATAATCTAATAATAAATTAGCGTCTTTTTTATTATTTCATTTTTGTGAAAAAAAATATCTGAAAAAGTATAGGGCTTGTAGTCTTTAGATTTCGATAACCACATCACACATCATGAGACTGTTTGGTCTAGCATAGGAGAATGAGAGAATGATTAAAATCATTAAGAGGACGAATAGAAGACAGCTTGTTTTTTACCAAAAATAATTTCATATAACGCGCAACTTTAACTTTTCCGCAGCGGTAGGTATAGGGTGGCTTATTTGTTATGGGATGATACCTTATATCAAAATCTGGAAAAAATATCAAAAAAGCTTAAACACAAAATTTGTGTGGATTCACTTTTGCTTTTTAAATATTACATTTCTATATATGCGAGTTTGAGCGATTTTTGGGTTCATTTTAAAAAGGAAACTTCATATGAACATATGTCTTAAACGTCTTAACTTTGGAGATACAGAGTGGCATAATTTTCAAAAATAAAACGATTTTTTTTAATATCTGTAATACCATTTGAGATATTTTAATGAAATGACATACATGTACTATGCATCAAGAGGCATTATTTAGTGTATCGCAAATTTTTAAAAATACACCAGTGGTGGGCGTACGGAATTTCACCTGTCTGTTTTTGGGTGACATTATAATTTAATTAAAATTATTAAATTAAGAATTATTCCTACAATCTCCAATGATTTCTAAAAATGTAACATCTTGATTTTTTAAATCCGATGTATTTTTAAGTGTGACGGACTAAAAAAAATTAAAGGATCAAATCTGCTCATAATTGAATGGAAATGTTATTATTTCTTTTAAGAAAATCAGTGTTAGATATCAACTAGTGTAATTAAAAAGAAATAGAAGACTGCTCTTTTCACTTTTACAGTTTTAATGAAATAACATAACATCCTAACATCAAGATAATAATAAAAGATTCTTAATTAAATTTATTTTATTTATTTAAGTTTAAGTATTTTAATAAAACAGATAGACTTAAGTAAGAAATAATAATCGAAATAATTAAAATGCATACTGTCATGTTAACGATATTGTTAAGACCATGCAGGGGAGAGGTTTTTATTTTTTTCTGTAGAACTGATTGGGGATTGTAAGAATATTTTTTATTTTAGGAGAAATCAGTGGCGTACCAACAAAGCCTGCCAAAATTAACATGTGAAATTCCGTAAGCCCACCACTGGTATATTTTGCATATTTTATATTTATGTATTTTATATTTGTAATTGTGGTACACTGAATAATGGTACTACAGATATTTAAAAAAATATTTTTGAAAACTTTACCACCTCGTATCTTAAAAGTTAAGTTAGGACATAAGTTTTTTTTGAACTTTTATTTTTAAAATCGACCCAAAAATCGCCCCCCTAACTATTGACATTCAACTAGAAAACATACTTTATATGGGCATTTTTGAATTCCTTAGAAATGTCTAGAATTATTTTATATATAATAACCTATACCTAAGTTGTATCGTTTCTGGCATATTTTCAATTTTACGTCGAAACTAAAAATAATAAAAATTTGAATGAATTTGAAAATCATTATTTTCAAATGAAATTTCAAGATTATAATTTTACCATATTGGACATTAAATAATTGCCACTTTCTATAACGTTTCTTAATTCCTAAGTTGTGATTTCAAAGTTTTTTCGTTAAAATTTTTAATGACAACTAAAATAAACCCTCTTCTATAAGGAAAACAGCCCCGAATCTACCGGGTGTTTCATGGTTGATGGCATGTTAGAAATTTACCTTAGTTCTATAAGCGGCGATGCTCTATCGCTCTAAAATATTTTTTTAAATATAATTTTAACTCTGCGACGTTGCCGGTTCTTCGAAAAAGTAGCATCAGTAATGAAATTTTAAATAGGACAACATGTATATTATTGCATTTTTCGATCCGCTAATAATGATGATGATTTTTTTTAATAATGCGCTCCTATACCTATCATTAGTGGCTTTAGAGAAATTAAGGAAGTGTGTTTCTTAATATCGAAATTCGTTCAATAACATACAGGGCTAAAAAAGTGTTATCACAAATTCTAATGCAAAATTAAATTTCTTTTCGAATAATGTATCATGCCCCCATACCTAAATCGTTTAAATTTTAAAAGTAATTTTTTCTGAAAAATGAAAAATGAAATATTCAATATTCATTTTAGGCTAAATAATTCATTTTCAATTTGACAGTTTAATAAAGATTTACTCATTATTGATTGTGGTGCAAATTTTGTCTATAAAATCGGTTGAAAATGCTGTTTTAATGAATTTTTTTATTATGCATGGACAATGTAGTCACATTACAGACAGGACATTCAGAAAATTTAATGAAAATGATGATGGTTCGAAACTAAGGGTTCTCATTTCCTATACCAAAAAGTGTTACTTCAAACGAAGAAAAAAAAGATGCCAAAACATTTGACATATTGCAAGGCCATATCAGCAAGACGGTTCACCTCCTCACAATGTTGCGCAAGTTAAAAATTGTCTTAACTTGGAATGTTAAAGGGAACGGCAGAACTTTGGATTGACCAGCCCCACAGCCCCGACTTAACTTCAATGGATTTTCTCTTTTGGGGACACAAAAATCATATGCACAGGACTCCTTGTAAGAAGAAGAAGGATTTCACAGGCAATCAATCAGTTAAGAGACAAGGACAAGGAAATGTTAATGAATGCAAGACATTAGAGGGTATGAGAAATGTGTTCAGGAAAATGGTGGTCACATACAGCAGGTTTTAGAATAGTTAAAGATTTTTTTACATTAGTGTGTCTTGTCATTTTTAGTGTTTTTGTTCAACTTTAATTTATAAATAATTATTGTTGTTGCAGTCAGTCACGGCACTCCTTTAAATTATATAAAAATTTGCTACTTTTGCCGATTTTTTAAAAACGGGTGGACTAAAATATAAAGTGTGTTACATCATTGTAATCGGAATAAGATATTCTATTAAATATATGTATAACATACAGGGTGTTCCATTTAAAAAAGTATGATGTAGGCTTATATGTCAGAAAATTGATAGTGTTTGGGAGAAATGCTTGCTTATTAACCCTACATTTTGTTTTTTTGTTTACCTTATCTCTAAAACCAAAAAAGTTACAGCCAATTAAAATTTTATCAAGATATAAATTGAACGAACGGTACGTTGGTACAAAAATTATCGCAGTTATCGAGACACGCAATAAACTTTCCTTATTGAAGTTTAGCGATATCGGTTCAAAAGTTCACACTCTGACGTCACCAAATGCTCGCAATTCCGCAACCCTTTCTATCCGTATGCCTACCGGGATCTGCTTCTACGTTTCCAATTAGCCTTAATCGAGCTGACGACGTTTAAAAAGCGTCTGAAAACGGGGTGAGGCAGGATGGCTTACCCTAATTTTAGTGTTGTTCGTTTCCTCCACGCAATGAACTTGTCTAAGTTTGGAGCCTCCGCCGCAGCTCACGGAACACGGCCCCCAATCGCCCGCATACCACCTGAAAAAGGAATTAGTGGGGGGATTAAAGCGAAAAGTGTGTACGGCAAAAAGGGGGCGGCGGGGGGAGATAGCAACCCACGTGCGGGTTAGCGACGATCCCTTCCGTTTGCGAGTCGTGTTTTGCGGCATACACCGTTACATGAAAAGGGGCTATTTTAATAGGTATTTGCTTGGTAGTTATCTCTGTCAGGAAAATAGAAGGGTTTTGGTTAGTCTCACCGTGGGTTCGGGATTTCGCAACCTTACGACGTTTTTCTTTGCTATATTTTTCCCAACTATTTGAGAATGGATGGTATTCCGTAAGCCCCAAAGCAGCGGGGGTGCAAATCAAAATAAAATAATTTTTGAAACATCAAGATATTAAATGTTGAATCAGCGTACTGGAGTTCTAGTTAATTCCTTATTAGGATGAGCGTAATTTCAGAATGGGACACTATTAGGAAGTCACGGTTATTCATATTTAATAAATCATTTTCCTTTATATAGATTTTTTTTCACCACATTAGTAAAAATTACAAATTGAAAATTAAAATTACAAAAATCAACAAACAGGACAGTCTAAAATGAATACGCACAAAACAGACCACAAAATGGAAACACGCCACCCATGCTCATCGAAGATATAAACTGGTTGCTTAGGCAACGGCATCGGCAGACCGCTGCCCAGCAATAGCAATGGTTACATCTTATTATATTCCCCTATAATAATCTCTGCAACAATTTTTTTAGTATTTTTACCAACGAATTGGGTTCAAACAAATACCAAATTCCAATTTATGATATTCCAAAAGGCTGCTGGTTATAATAATTTGACATGGTTGTTTCAAAAGGTGTTCAAATTTTTTAAATTTTCCTTTCAATATTGACGCCACCAACTCTACTCCCCACAGTGTCGGCCTAAAATGGCAGCTTCATTCAATACTCGTCTTATTCCGATACTTTGTTTGGGATACTGTAATTACGGTCCCATTCGATTTGATTGATTTGTAACACTGATATTTTAACGTTAGTTCAAATTTCAAATTTAAGTAAAAGAACTGACATTATACTTGAGACTTAATATGCCAATAAGCATGCATTGAATTGAATTGAATTGAATTTTATGTCGAAACTAAAAATAATCCAAATTTGAATAAATTTGAAAATCATTATAATTTTATTATATCGGACATTATAAAAATTGTAACGTCAACGTCTTCAAAAAATACAAAACAACCGTTGTAGGTTGTTTTGTATTTTTTGTATATTTGCGCTCCGCTAGTGTCAAATAAAATGGTGAGTCAAATGCCGTTTACCGCACTTGTTGCATGATCTACTATTAATAGTATAAACGTTCCTTTGCCTTTTCATCTTTAAAACTGTTTCTAAAGATCATTAAAGGCGGGTTATTAGATAAATAAAGTGCTGATTGGGTTTTTCATCTTTTAATTAATCACAGAATTATTTCTGTAATTACTTACTTTCTTTTTCTTTTGTTTATAGTTTATTTTTCTTTATTACGAGGTCTTTGTTATAAATTGTATTGTCAAAAAGGTGTATAATATATAGATTAATTGTGTTGGGCTAATCTTGAGTAGCTGACATAGTAAGTTAGACTTCGCCTTTTGAAATTTTACTATTGTATTCTGTGTATTATGTATATTATGTATCTCAAGTTTCAATAAAGACTATTATTATTAATAATAATCATAATAATAATAACTATAATAATAATAATTATTATTATCGGATGGTCACGACATATGTCACTATGCGTTTGTATATGTGCCTTTTTGCAAAAACATATCCAAAAGTAATGGTAGTAGAAAAATGTACCCTCAACACATGCTTCGCTACGCTCCGTTCTTGCTTAAACAAACTAGTGTGCTTTATAAAATTTGTTACATAAAACCTAGCAACATAAAACAGTTTTCTTGATAATCAGGTAAAAGCGCCACAATCCCAAAAATTTGGCTCAATATAAAAAAGATAAAATTAGAAATTTTCAAGGATTATTTATAACCCGCACAGTTTTCTTACTATATTATATTGCACAAAAAAGAGAATTAGCGGCATGGAATACTTAAAATTGAAAACTTTGTTTTTTTTTTCTTTGTTTGTTAACAATAAGGTCATTCATAATGCGAATTGGTGGTATAAATAAATTGGCTATGCGTTACAATGACAATCACATATTAACAATTATGAGTTGATTAATAATACAAAAGTTATTTTCTATTATAGCTCTTAAGGTTATTAAGAAAATTAAAAAAATAATTTAAATAATTTATATATGTTAATTTAATTATGAATGGCAAATAAAAAAGTTTTAAAATAAAGGAAGAATTAAATTAAAATGGACACTGTGGAAACAGGTTAAATAATCTTTGTTTTTAAATGTTCCAATGATATTTACTTGATATTACCCTTCATCTACTGAGTTTTAAATACACTGCTGTAAATTTAAGTATCATAAGGAATAAATACAAATAAATAAATAAAATTTTAAAACAGCAATTTGCTCTCCGTCTTAGTATTACGATCCTATAAAGCCTATATTTTATTCGACTATAACCGACACCCGGATATACACGGGGTGAAAATTTAAGCCCGCTCACACATGTGTAACGCTGTCGTAAAACCTCTTTGCTGAATTAATTAATTCCGAAGTTTTAAGTGGGCTTTGTTTTCGAAACCGAAATGGAACTACCGAGATTAACTCGGGTTGAAATAACATCGTAAAGAAAACCGCAATACGAACCTACCCCATTAAAATTTATGTTATTTATGTTTCCAGTTGACTTTTTTGAAGTTTAATATGAATTGTCTCACAATTAAGTTAAGATATCAAAATTTTCCTTCATAATAACTTTGGCCTCTAACATTTTCATGCCGGACGGATCTATTATAATAAATAAATTATAGAGAACGAGAATCATAACCTTAGTTTTTAGAGGATAGAAATTCAACAGCATCAAGTGGAAACAAATAACATTATTGGCTACAACCACTCTAACTCGATTCAGGCAATAGGTTTTTTATGTTGACTAAAAATTTTGAAGCATTATATGACGGCTACCAATATGAAATATTTTTAAGAAAATGATACGTCCATTAATGTAATGATGAGTGACAAAGTTAATCTCTTATTTTTTTTGTTGGTTGTGGTGGTAATGATTTTTTTCACTGTGTGACAAATAAAACGATGTACTATACGATCTGGAAACCCATAGGAGATACGACAAAAAGTTACTTACAAAAGTTTCTTGGACTCTGATTTAGATTTAGATCTGTATGTTGCGACATTTTTTGAATCTTTGGTTAAAATAAAGCTTACTTTCTTAAGAAATTCCTATTTGAATTTTGCATAGTTTAGGCAGAAATTGAGATTATGTGTTTTTTTTTATATTTTGATTGCTCCCTATAAAATTGTGTTGTGACGCTACTGATCCAGTTATTGCAACGAAAATTTAACCACAGACTAAGGAGGGGATGCACTACCACTACTCAATCACTTTGACAGATGCGCCTCAATTTATACAGGGTATCCTAAATAGGTGGTGCCGTTTTGGCGAATTCAATTAACACAATCTCAAGATTTTCAAAGGGGATACCATATATTTTTATTTAGATATCATTTCTAGTATAAAAAATTAGATAGGTTTGCAATTTATGTTATATTTAAGTTTTACTTATTTTTTGGGATATGTGTGAAAACACCCGCATAAATTCTCATAACCTCAAATTCTGCTTAAAATGTGGCAAAATTCGAAAAGGAATTTCTTTATTTTTTATTTACTTATTTTAACCAAGGATTCAAAAAATGTCGAACTATACAGGGTGTTCCATTTAAAATAATAAAGGGGGGGGGGCGCACTTTTGGGACACCCTCTATCAACAAAATTATAATATTTTTAATCTACAGGAGAGTTCAAGAATTTGTTTTACTGTTTCACTGTTTTTCGTATCTCCTATGGGTTTCCAGATGGTATAGTGGATCGTTTTATTTGGCACATGGTGTACGTTAATCTTTATTATGTCTATGCAAAGGTGTAAAGTAACAAAAAAGACGTAATTTTGTGTGATCGTTGTTGAGAAAGTGAACTTGCTGACGTTTCGCCAATCATCCTGTTGGCTTCTTCAGAGTTTAAGACTTATACTTTATCCTGCTAATATATTGTTTAAGGGGGCGGGGTTTGGATGACTGAGTCCTATATTTGTGAAAGGTAAAGACAACCAAACAATCTTAAGCGCGACTCAGGTCTTTAGCTATTACCAATATGGGAAAATATAAACAGTACAGTACAGTGTAGAATTCGAGCCAGTTTCAGTTAAGCTCTGAAGAAGCCAACATGACGATTGGCAAAACATCAGCAAGTTTGATTCATCAATAACTGACTCAGGAGGAATCCAGAAGATTTGTAAATAAAACTTTATTACGTATGAGAAGTACTACAGAATAACTCAACGAATATCTAAGTCACTTTCAAGTTGTGATTTCATTCCAAAATTCTTTCCTTTACCGAAGCATTATGTTCGTATATACAGAAATTTAATTGTAAAAAATTATTCTTTATCGTCTAAGTAACTGTCATTCCATCATAGCGTTGTAATTAAAGGGTTGCCCCACAGAGGTCATTTACAATAATTTATTCGGTAATAAATACATAAAATAAGATACGTAGATATGTAAATTATTGGTTTTAAGTTGTATTTTAGGTCTTACCTACAGGTTTATAAATATTTGCAACTGGTATATTTTGTCAAATAAACAGATCAAATATTTTTAGGCCTAGACACAAACATATATTTTTTTTTAAATGTGTCCTTAAGTCAGAAAAAAATAAAGTAAGCCATTTTATTTTTTAATAATATTTGATATATTTATTTCTATTTAAATTAAAAATAAAATATTACACAGCACTTGTCACTTCTTGGCACCCAAATTAGTAATTGGCGAGAAGGTAATGGAGCAGTATTAGAAACAAATGCACGACAAATATGTTTTTCTACTCCCGTTTGTAAAATATCTAATTACACACCGATCTAGCGTGCAGTAAGCGTCACTTTACCACGTCAGTTTCGTTTCCCAAAAATCCGAGCCACTTCGGACATTTCCGGGAATTTACCACACGGATTTGGGAGCAATCGGATGTGTTCGGAGATATTTCCCACGCTTTGAATTTTGACTTTTGTCAATTCTTACCGTCATGTCAGTGAATGTATTTGTGTTTTTTTGCGAAAATGTACCCAAATACTAGGTCGTAGAAAAAGTATAGTATGCAACACGTTCGTCAAACTTTTTAATTCACTCGATTATTAAAAACTTGCCTCCCTCGTGTCAATAAAACTCGTGAGTCAAATACCGTTTATCGCACTTGTTGCGGTTAGGCTATTTTGCAAGAAATTTTGACCCACCATTTATAAATGCTCCTCCTACACTTCACCAAAACTTAAACTACCATAAAGTAAACAAAAATTTTGACACATGACGTTCTCGATCCTTCTAGATCCTTCTGTACTGACTCGTTTCCGAAAAATTAGTTCAATTTCGAAAAACAATCGGGTCCCGTTTTAAACTTATTAAAATCGATGCGCTGCTGCGGGAATGCCAAAATTCCGCTATCTTCTTCGGCTATTCGGGCGAAGTGGAGTCTCGGGGATTGTCTAATCGGGAGGTTGCCTAACTTTGGCAGTTAGCTGGGATTAAAGCCTCATGTAGACCGTCGTAACTCTGTTAAGTGGAACGAACTCCGATTTGACTCAGTCAGATTCGGTCGGACATTTCCGGAACTTTTTAAAGACCGAATCTGATTTCACAATTTTCTTAATCGTTTAATTTTATTTGCAATTTGAGGGACCGAAGGAGAGACAGAGGAAAGCGGGAGCGGCAGAGATACGGAATTCCTCGTGTCGAATAAAATGGCGATTCTTTGCAAATAAATATGCTACTAAGCTCGCTGCCTGAACAATCGAACTATATTTTTAAAAAATGCGTAGGTTGTCACACCCTTTGGACCCCAATTTCTTGCCTCCATTTAAAGAAAACAAGTCGACCATTTAAATGACGTTGGCAAAGTTTTACAGTTCACTTTAGTTCTAGTGACTTTTTTGATAAGTATACTCTGTGTGCAGTTGGACGATGAAAGCTAAAAGCTAGGAAACTTTGGGATAACTAAAATTTTGGTTAGTTTATATCTTGCATATTTTTTAACAAAGCAATATTCGAGCTGAAATATAAAATGGCGTAATTTTTTATTTATTAGTCTTCGAAAGAAAAAACAATTGTAAAAGAAACAAAGAGCACTTTCCTAATTTCTGGTCTCGCGGTTTTTGAAAATTCTTCTACAATTTACTCACTTTGGAGGGCAACTATGCGTGTTACATTCGGCAACCGTAGAGTCTGGTTTTTGGGAGTCGTTGCACAGTTCTTCTTCTACTTCGTCGCCGGTCACACGGTTCTGGCATACAGGACGTGACATTTTGTACCCTGAAATTAAAAAACGTATACTAATTCAAAGTTCTGTGGTTAGGATTCCTTTAGAAGAAGTGCAAAAAAAAAGTTTTATCTCAAACTTAGTTGAAAGTAACTGTAGAAGCTAAGATATCGTCACCTCCTCCGCATGTTGCAGAACATAACGACGCGTAGGTCAAAGTCCAATGGTACAAAGGTCTGGAGCAAGACGAACCATCGCCCCCACAAACCCCACATCCGTCAACTTGTTTCAAGGATCCTATTCTTAAATCGCATCCCACTCTCTGCAATCAAAAAAAGACGCAGGATAGATACAAGGTGATCAACCAACATGGGACGGAACGTTACGCCTGAGCACGATAGTATTTCGCAGTACTATATCGATTGCTATAATAAATTCAAAAATCATTAACCTTTTTTACGGTATCAGAAAATAATTCTTACTGTTACGCAATTATTAAATTTTATTTCTAGCTCCTGTAAATAAAACAATGAAACCATTAAGCCTTTCACACAATGTATTCAAATACTCTACCGTTTCGCTTGAGGCCCAATCGGAAACGATTTGTAATTAAAAGCGTTACTTTATTTAAGAGATATTCGTGTTCACCAAATATAAACAATATTAATAAACTGTTAACATTATTTTTTTTAATTACATTAATATAAAATGATGAAATTTACAATTTGGTTAATTTTTATTTTAATATTTTTTAGTCAAAAAAATACTAGACACTGTTGAAGAGCCACATCGATTTTCTGACTGGGTCATTCCTCAAATCAAAATGAACTTTTGTGAAAGTGCAAATATTGCTTTTTTATAATAATTATTATTTTATTTATGATGTTACAGATGTGATAAAGCATATTTTCACTTAAACCTTTCAGAACTTAAGTTCATTTGAATCCCTAGTTAGCCTGAAAGTAAAAAATATTGTTCAAGATAGGTTTTCCTCTCTAGTCATATCGACTTCATTGGTGTCTGAACCATTGAATAGGTGGAATTCTCCCTGCTCCCCATATCGCCATTTAACTAAGATGAAAAACCTGTCGTCGGTTTTCCGGGAGGAGGAGGGTTGAAACCCAGATAGCGAAAACGTATTGCGTGTTACATTGGCCCCACTTTGCGTCATCTGAAAGCGTCCTTATCTGAGCGTTTTGTTTTATGCCCCTGCGTCAAGCGGACCCCGAGAGTTATTCTCTGCATAAACATGTTTGTACCGCAGACTAGGGGTTGTAATTCACTCGAACGGCTGAAAAATTGGCTTGTTCTTCGAGGTGATTGCATATACAGGGAGTTCCTAAATACATAGAGATACATTAGATAAAAAGGAAGATGTACCTGTGGTCTCTATTATTTCATTAAATGCAATGTTTAATCAAAATCGAGAGATTGGCAAATTTTCATTACACAATCAATATTTGGGAAAACTGTAAATAGTATTTCAAGACTACTCAAGAAATTAGACGAGTTCTTTTAATACCAGCACCTTAATCGCTATAGAGAGATACTTGAGAATTAAGTAATGTAATTATAACAATTATTGTCAATACGTTCAAAGCAATAACATTTCGCGTGAAACCGAAGCGGCCATAGCGTTGAAACAGAAACGTTCCATTCAATGGGAAATTGCACGAAGCCTTTGTGCCGAATCAATAGTTTCCGGCGAGCACAATAGCAATTTTGATAACCCATTCGGCTTTATATAATTCACTTCACTTATTAATACCGCGCAATCTCATTAAAAATCCATGTTCCATTATTTTAACAACACAATTGTGTTTGGGGGGCGGAGGCGACGGGAGGAATATTTTATCGGTGGTTATGTAAATTATTTTATCAAGTTATGGGGAAAATATATTATTTTTCATCGCAACAACTTTCTCAGGCGGAAAACTCAGTTTTTGTCAAATGTGTTAATTTAAAAGAGGAAATGATTTGAAATGTCGCGCCATTCAAACAGCTAATGAAAATCCCAAAGCCCGAATTCCACTTTTCTACGGACTTACTAAAATTCACAAACCAGGATTATCCCCTCAAACTATTGTTAACGCCATTGGTTCTCCAATATATTATCTAGCAAAATATATAGCTTTTATTTTAAAATACTGGTAGCTTCGTATTTAATTAATTTCTCTTCATTAAACACTTAAAAACCATTAGTTAGTTTCGACGTAAGTCCCTAATGCCGAAACTTTCAATATTATTGCAGATGTATTAAAATTTATCACCAGTCATCGTAACTATAGAGAGAGACCTCCCATCTAAAACCAAACCAAGAAACTTTTGTTACTTGGCCTCATGGGCAAGTATCCTTCCATTTTTTTACCCATTGAAACTTTATACACCCTGAGCATTGAATTAGAAACTAATAATGGTTTCTCACTCTTAGATATTTGTATAAATAGAAAATGAGACCTAACATTGGATCATTATGTTGACAGAAAACACAGACGGATATTTTAGTTCATTGTCACATCACCATCCAGTCCAAAAATTATCCTTTATCAACTCTATAGTTTACATTCACTAATTTCACATTAGAGATATTAAGAGTGCAATCACAAAATACACTTCAACACAACCTTCCAAAGAAAATTGTCCGAAAACTACCCCACACTTGCCATTGTTGTCTTTCCTTATATTCAAAACATCACTTACCACATATCCAAAGTTCTTAAGAAATATAACGTTAAAACCAGATTTAACACTTTAAATACAATTTAAATTTAAATACAAAATCTGCGATGGTTCTAATAAGTGAAGAACAAATTCGACTAATAAGGATTTTATAACATTCTTCACCAATTCTTCACCCACAGCTGCCTGAAATGGTCAATAGAAAATGAGAATATTCCATTCCAAAGACTTTGTTAGTATTTTCGAAGAACCGAGCACATTCGTTTATTGATTATAACCAAGTTATACATAGATGCATTAATTTAATTTAGAAATGTAATCTTTAAAAAGCATATAAAATTAATTAACATATTGGTAGAGGCGATGATGATAGAGTTTTACTGAATTTTGAATTCGATCAAACCTAATTTATCACAATCTGCAATTAACAGTAAAGCTAGTACTCCCATATTTAATACTTTTGTAATAGAAGAATGTGTAAAGAAAATTGCTGGTATACTTACATGGTTCCGAAAGTCCAAGGTACTTTGCTATGTCTTTTGCGACTTTTGCGATAGCATTTATTGCTATTACTTCATTCTGGAATTTACCAATTGTACAGTTTTTAGGTATCAGGCTAATATATTTTAGATGGATTGATAAATAGTAAAATATTGCGTTATTTGTCACAGTGAATGTTCTGTTGTTGTAGTTGGAATCAGACATTTTTACAATAAGAATTGACTTTTTATCTTCAATGTCCACTACCATTTTGAGAAGTTCGTCGAATGTGTCTTATTATGAGCTTCTCTTAAACTATTAACTTCATGAAAAGTTAAAATTTTTGATTTGCACCACTTACTAAAAAGTTCATACTGCTAATTGCTTTTCGACTTCTCTGGCCGTAAATCAAGAGCAACTGATTTTGCTGCTTCCACAATTTCCAGCGGAGTACACACCATTTTACAAATTTCATATATTTCCATTGAATTTTTACATTACCAAAGCGATTTTAATATCACGCACTGGTCACGAAATTGTTGACATCTGTTAAATAACCCTCAAGACCTCCATTTACTAGATGTTTCGTCATTGTCTTCCATGGTAAGTAAGTTAGCTTTTGGGATACTTTGACGCTCCTAGGAAAAGTGCAACGTCAAATGCAATTTTAAAATATATTATATATAATTAAACACAAACAATTAATTCATACTGATTTAATCATAACCATAACCCTTAAAGCAAAATATAATATGAGGCATACCATTGAAGAAAATTTTAATTCTATATTATTAATCCGCAAATGGAACACTCTGTATAAAAACTTTGTACATTTTCGTATTTTGTATAAAAGGTTGCTTAGCTAATGAAATAAAAAGTTAAGTATACTCGTATAAGTTGCAGGGTTTTAACTAACGCCTTCTAGCGGCCAGATGGCCAATTTTCATTTGAATCATTAAGTTGCTCATAAAATTCGAGCCCCAGAAACGAGGGCCGAAATTTTTCTATCTCTTGAAATAAGTTGTATTCCCATAAGAAAACATCTTGCATGAATACTTTTATATTTCATACTTCGGTAATAATAAAACACATATAAAAAACAACAAATTATTTCCGAAACGGGCTCTATGTTGCTCGAAGTAATTCGACAGTGGCTCCAAGCTTGTTTTTATGGTAGGACGGAGGGGCCAGAACAATTCTTACCTAGCGAGGAAATTATTAAAACTTTCCCTAAAAAACCTGACGTCGTAACCCGCAAGGTTACTTCGGAAGGAACCTTAGCCAATTAGAAACTTTACGGCACGGTGGAGGGTGGGGGGGACTTCTTTTAATTGCATCAAGTCCGCTAATTCCGTTTTTCAGTTCTCAGGCGTGGGTGGGGGGAAAGAGTCTCGAGATTCTTCGAAAAAGTTTTAACGAACTTGTTACCGATTCATCCCAATCGGATTATTTATGAATCTCAATTTTTTATTTGTGATTCCAGATTGACAACGTACACGTTTTATAAAACAAACAGCTCACTAAAGAAGAATCTGATTTTACAAAAAATATTTCTAATAGCTTAATTAGCGGAGAAGGATGGCTCTTTTAGGGTGAGAAAGCTAATCGATAAATAATTAAGGTTTGGACTTTATTAGCAATATCTCCTCTTCGACTTGATGGTTTATACGAAGGGTATCCATCGCCCATCCAAATGACATGCAGTACTTGGTTAAAATCCGTTACTATTATAGAGAGGGCACACTCATATAAATAAGGATAATTTTATTTTATTTTTTACTCACAGCTTAGAATTTTAGAACATCATTTTAACTTGTCAGTAAGTCTATATTTACAAAATGCATAAATATATTTTTAGTGCAGTATTTTAGTTAGTGCATATGTGCGTCTTTAAAACTAGCCCTGAAACGAAACTTTATTTGTAAAAATACAGAATACAATGTGGTAAATAAAATTAAATGTGCTTTTTCAATGAACTTAACAGAATTTCCAGTCACATTAATGAACTGCGTCACATGATCACTGTCCACACTACAGACCTCCAACTAATAGAGACGGTATAAGTCATTTATAAAATTACTATTGTGGTGAGGGGGGCGAGGAGTCTTGCCCAAATAGTATATTACGCAACAAGTGCGGTAAACGGCTCACGAGTTTATTTGA